GCTATGTCTGGTGACGATTCACCCAAAAAAAAACACTTACATATAAAGCTCTTCAAGATCGTGACCGTCGTAGTGACGTTGAATTTGAGCTTCATCTACCACTCTCATCGAGGTGGACTCCTTTGTCACTTGACGCTTATAAATTCGTTCCTCCATTGTACCCTGAACACTTCGAAGATAGAATAAAAGTGAGTGAAGTTTCCGATGTTCAGCAATAAGACCGACGTCATAGTCGGCGACGGACGCGATCGCGATCGCTCCATCGCTTGGTCCATCGCCGACTATGACGTCGGTCTAACTGCGGGATAAACTTTTGAGCTAAATATCATACAAATCAGGTATTTTGCTCCTAAATCAAATCGAAACCAATTAGACAATACGAAAGAGATGAAAATTAGGTCGCTATGAGAAAGATTTGGGCTACATTCGAGATCCATGATTTACATACGCCTTTTACTGACTTTTGAAACTAAATTCCCACTTTTCCGAACATGAGAGACAAGAGAACCAGAAAACTTAGAAGTTACACAGACAAGCACTAACAAAACCTACTTGAGCGATAAATCGGTAAATATACACGGGCTTCGTTTGACCAAATCGATAGACGCGGAAAAGCGATTGAGTGTCATGGGAAGGATTCCAGCACGCATCAAATATTATGACACGGTTTGCTGCCACCATATTGGTGCCGAGGGAGCCAGCACGTGTAGAAATTAACATTAATCTAAAATACATTCAAAACAAGAGAACGGAGGCTTCCAAATCCCCACCCACTGTCTATATAGCAAAACAAAAGGGCAATACAACGGCCTTCCGGGCCGTATGAGGAAAAAACTCTACGACCTTATTCTTAGAATCAGACAGTTTTTGTACATTCAGCACAATATTTTACACGCACACTTAACTTTCAAAGACTTAAAGCAGTTCTGGTTGGGAAAATCGGAAAATTTTGTAGGTATTTTTGTTCCATAGCCAGCCGGAATATATTGGAGTTCAACAGTGGTCCGCGCCAGGGTCGGTCCTATCGTTGTTACTTTTTCAAAAATTTTTACGACCCCCCTCCCCCAAGGTGGACTTTGATACGACCCCCTTTTCGACACCTCGACCACCATCATCCTATCTATAGTATTTAATTCTGGTACCACTCAACCCACCAAACTCCGCCCACTTTTTCCTCCAAAAATGCCGTCGAGCGGGGGGGGGTATATAGGGGTATAAAGGCTATACAGCCTACTCCGAAACGATAAAAAAATTCGAAAATTTCCTCTATTTCCACCACTTCACCCCTACTTTTTACCCAATTTCACACTACATAATATACGCACGCTGAAACGGCGAATTTCTCTCCCATGCGCTCCCAAATCACCCAGCCTACTACTCGTGAAAACTCTAGTTTTCTGGTTCTCTTGTCTCTCATGTTCGGAAAAGTGGGAATTTAGTTTCAAAAGTCAGTAAAAGGCGTATGTAAATCATGGATCTCGAATGTAGCCCAAATCTTTCTCATAGCGACCTAATTTTCATCTCTTTCGTATTGTCTAATTGGTTTCGATTTGATTTAGGAGCAAAATACCGATTTGTGTGATATTTAGCTCAACAGTTCATCCCGCAATTAGTGCTGAACATCGAAAACTTCACTCACTTTTATTCTATCTTCGTAGTGTTCAGGGTACAATGGAGGAACGAATTTATAAGCGTCAAGTGACAAAGGAGTCCACCTCGATGAGAGTGGTAGATGAAGCTCAAATTCAACGTCACTACGACGGTCACGATCTTGAAGAGCTTTATATGTAAGTACCAGACATAGCCTGAGAGTGGACGGGTTTTCATTATACGGCAGCGGCAGCTCAAGAATGGAGAGTCACTTGGTAAATGTAACTAATCAGAAGAATGTTTGAAGCACCGAAGTGTCGCTCTCAAAACTTCTTCAGTGCGTTAGAGGCAAGAGGCGGCTGCTTGGTTACTCAGCCCTAACCACAGTTGTGTTCCATGTCGAACGTTCATTCATCTTCTCTTTCTCAGTGTGGATTTTCGGCATGCCGTTGAAGCGGCAGGGTATTGCCTGTGGCATGTCAGGAGTGTGTGCTTACTGTTTAAATGGGGTCGGTGACCTTTACCAGTACCTTTCCTATATGAAACTTACAGGTTCGATGCCAAAGAATTGGATCCGAATGACGCTGACAGTCGGCCAACTTTTGCTCCACCGAAAGTAAGAAATCATTTGATTATTATCATTGCTAGTGAGTTCCACTAATAAACTGAGTTTCTTGGTGCTCTAGACGGTTTGCCAAGAAAGCTATATGTATAATAATATCTGTCTATAATTTCTTATAATATTATCTAATGTTTCATGCAGTTGCTCGATTAAGGATCGCCTTTTGGCTGAGATTTTGCTGTCGAAGAAAGATGCTGTTGTTGATTACTTCCAACACGATACGCTTTTTGCCCATGTTGAAGAGGAGAAGCTTTCGGAAGAAGATTTGAGAGAGGCATGGAACGACTATGAGCGTGATAAGGTTGGTGGTAACTTCAACTTCAACAACTTTATCGAAAAATTTGCTGCATCTGAATGCTGGACAACGGTAGTAAGAGCTTCCAAAATTTTCCTTCACTTCCTTGCTACTTTGTTTCTACTCAAAAATTAGTCTAGAGTCATATGAAGTCGAGTTGTTTCACTGTTGTCGATTATTTCAGCAGCTTTGCAGCATGTAAAAATTCCGTCTTCCTGTGCGTAAGAACTTACTGTTTACTCTGTAGCTACACTCAAGAACTAACGAACGTGAAGCCAAACGGTTCTCAAAAACATAATCGAGTTTGCGTACTTACTCATTTTAAAAAATTTCATTGTAGAACATGAGCACGTTTGGTCGATCAGCTACAGCTGCAATGATCGGAGTTCCTGGAGGTGGTCTGGCAGCTAATCAACTGGGATTACTACAACAAGCACGGGAACAAATGGCTCGAACTCAGGTTCTTTACTTTTTGTTCTCAGGTTTTTATTTCTTCCCTTTTTACGATCGTATTCTGCTCGTGTTTTTACGAGGTAGCATAGGAGTTTACGTCACGAAGACATGTTGTCAAAAGTTATTGTTTGTGTCTATTACTTGTTTTAAGGCTGTTCAATCATTAAATCGTGATGTGGTATACATGAATTGCTTCCAAATTCCTTTGATGGACAATGATACGGCTATGAAGGTGATTTGATGATTTTTTTTTCACCGTGTTCCTAAATGTTTGCCTAAAAGTTTTCATATTTCATTTCCCTGTTCTAGGTTACATATCTGAAAAAAGCACTTGAGGATCTGTTGCCGCAGATTCCACACGAAATGCGAGGTGGTATATCCGAGTTCAATTCGTATTTTATCAACTTTATAACTGTAAGTTGTTGATATTATTTGCATGGTTACCAATTATTAATGCTGTATAGCATTGGTTCTCATACTCATGAAAACAAAGACATAACGAGTCACATATCCTTTTTTGGTCTGATGAGCGGAGTAGGGACGAGCTTGCTTGCCTGAATATTGAGCAGTTTTCGTCTTTTCGTCGAATTTTCTTTTTTTTCATGTTTCGGCTTTTTAAGATCTTTGATTTTGTACAAGCGCTTGGGTTCCACATTATTTGGGGGTGATTCCATTTCCTGATCCTTAGTGGAAAATTTGCTGTCCATAGCTCCTCCAAAAGGTGAACGCGCAACCAAATGATTACATAATTCAGCAAGCGGTGGAGGGTCATCACAATCCTGCGTGGATGCTGAATAGAGCGGTATCGACGTTTCGAACAGTGGTCAAACTGGTGAAAGACCAGCCGAGCTGCAAACAGACTCTGCGCCATTTGTACTCGGTGACAAGTCAGTTCTTTGATCCGATGGAAGCGCCACCGTAATAGGATATAGTTACTGAGTGATTATTAATTAATAGTATTGTAATATAAGTCTTACACGTTGACGGTGATTCCGCTGTCGTATGCGTTGTTTAGGATAGTTTTGTGAGCTTGTTCCTCTGCTACGGTACTGTGTAACCCATCATAGTAATGCGTCTCGAGCTTGTAGTCGTTCACCTATAATGTATTGTACACATTCCATTGTTTATTACCTGGATTTAAGGTTTCATTCATACGTTTTAAAGTGTTTTTTAACATTACTTGTACTTTCGCAGTTTAGAACAGCATCATGAGCAAAATACAAACCAGTTACGATTTTGGGTATCACCGAAATCGTGTTTTGTGGTAAAGATCTCTTTTTCTTCTTCTCATTGATTAGTTGAGTTGTATATTCTATCCGAGCTGATCAAATAAATATATGAGTATTGTGGCTGAAATTTTGTCCTTTTGCCAAATAGAATGTTTTGATGGGATATAGAAAGTAATTGTACACGTGGAAGGTCAAAGGGATCGAATTTCCCACCAACTATCAGCAGAAGAATGCTGGTCGTGGTGATGTTTTGGATTGCGGCCTATGCCTTGTGAGCGTCTCAAGGTGATAACCTAAAATTTGATCCCGTGTTTTGTATATGTGTTGAACTGGTGTAGGTCAACGGGCACCTGCGATACCACCGCTCCCATTGGGCGCACGCGCTCAGACCGCCGTCACAGTCGGCGACGGGGCGCCTGTCCATCGCGTTGCAATCGCTCGGTCGAGAGCGATTGACATGCGATTGCGCAATCGCTTGCAAAGTGCACAAGCGACGGGCGATTGGCCCCGCCCCCATCGATGCAGTCGGCTGCGGTATCGATCGAGCAGAGCCATCTCCCGTCGCTTCTGCACTTTGCTCTCGGCCGAGCGATTGAGGGTGGTCTCAGGGAGCACACTTTCCGAATAGGGCTAGTAAAAGATTAGGTCCGAAAAGATTAGGTCCTTGTCGTTGGGACTCTGTTGTGAAACCAAGAGATGAGTTGATCAGTACGCTTTTGTTGCTTGTCTGCAAAATTGAGCGCTTTCGGATGGTCGGAATGCGCGAAGGACTAAATGCGTTTAGATCAATCATCATAAAGTCACGATTCGGGATTAGGTGGTTAGAAGTAGTCTCTCCGAGATAGGGAGAGAAGGAAGGCCCCAAAGGCAGGAGGCGCAAGACTGTCGCCAGTAGTGCGCGGGAAGGACGCTGTGGTCTTGCCTTTTGCGCTGCCGGCGCTGCCATTCTATCAATCGCGGCATACGTGGTGTCTGCGCCCTCTCGCGTACGACGTACTCTCTCGCGTTTTCCCTCTCCTCGCAGCGCTGTGTCTCTCCGTCATACCACGGCCGGCCTCCTAAGGGAAATTTAGTGTTTTCTATGGTGCTTTTTGCTTTTTCTTCCTAATGAAAATGCCTCATCGCACTTCTTGTCGAATTTATAAACGAAACGACACAACGGCACAACAACTTGGGTGTCTCCCAAGAGGCCCGCCGCGCGGCAAAGGACGAGTCGCAGCGCATACTGTAGCGGTTAGGCGTCAGGTTAAATAGAGTGTACCATACTACGTCTCATATCGCACAGCACGCGCTGCGACTCGTCCTTTGCCGCATCTGCGTCTCTTCCTTCGCCGCGCGATGGGCCTCTTGGGGACACCCCAACGACTCCATCTCGACTCGTGCCTTCGAGCTCGCGATCACACTAAGTCGCTGATGTGATAGGATTCCAATAAAGGACAGCAAGCCAGTTGGTCGCATCACCCACCAAGCCATAAGGCTTGCGTAAGCCTCGCTTAGAAATATGTTCCATCGTCGTCAAACGTTATAGCCCTCCACACGGTCTGCTCCTTTGGTTCTAAGCAGTTAGCAACTTCCAAAGGAGCCCAGCCGAGAGGGTGGCTCTAGAAAAGAAGCCGGGCAGGGCCACGCCTGGTTTGCGCCAAGCGCTACACTGTTCTCGAACTTGGAGGGGGTACAATTTCTCACCAAGGTGCTCGTTAGCGACCGACCAGCCACTGTCGACACCTTGGTGAGCATAGACAGCATAGTTGGCGATAAGCAGTTATGTTCTCGTATCTCCGACGGCGCCGAGCTGGGGAGAGGGCAGCGATGATCTCGATCGTGAGGGATGTATTCAAGAGCAACGCAAGAGCATCCAAGCGTCGATGGATCGGAGCACAGTGGTCCCTACGGCTGCGATCCCTTCCGCGGCGTTTACCATGAGTATGAACCCGGTTTTTGGTTTCCAAAGTTGCAGAGCGACTGTGGTCATGCAGGAATGAGTAGACAACATGGCGGAAGAAACAGTCAGTTGGAGATGAAGCAGGGAGTGTGACGATCGTGAATGGGGAGCTTGATATTTCTTGCAGGCTCATTTGCTATCCCTTTCTAATCTTCTCTTTAGTTGTCCATAAGTCTTGGCGATCAACTGACCCAAATTCCTGATTTAAGTAATTCTAATTATCCGTTTGTTCCATCGTTCAACCGCATGATACATCCCATCAAGTATCTACCAACCTATATGCACCAACGCAAGAAAAGAATCTAAGTAGACAGTTCCCGACTCCTCTCTCAGAATCTTCACCGTAATTCATCGAAGAAAGATCAATAGTCGATTCTTGACATCATGATGGGTAGGATGAAATTTATTGCTCCTATGAGTGTCTAGAGAAGGAGGCAGTGGGCAACCTTGACACGAGGACAGGTCTATAAGGCGGCTACAGGTCTATAAAAACTCTGAGAGTCCTTAAATTTCCCTGGATTTTCGTGGCAAGAGGTGGTTTAACGGTGACATCTAAAAGCAAACTTTGTCTTGCTTCTCTTTCGTATTGAAAGCGTTGTAATCAAGCTGTGGACGGTTGACTTCCGCGTTGACTGCGACATCTACACGTAGGGGTTTCCAGAGCTCAACTCCTCTCGTGTTCCACCAAAAATCCGAAGAAGGCCCCTACTTTGAAGCCCACGAGTCAGGATTAGGTGACCATAGAAGGCCTTTCCATCACTAATATTTCCAGGAATGCGCTCAGAGGGGTGATGCCACACTCCTGACTCGAGATTGCGCGCCGTC